CGTCAAATATTTACTCCCTCTTTATATTTCATTGATGCTCAATTTCTTTCAATACATTTAAAGCAACAGCAACAATATTGTCGTACTTTTTTTGTTCAGTTCAATATACAAATTAGTTTCTAAAATACATTTTAACACTTTAGAAACATAATTTATTATTAGGTTAATGCTCATCTTTATTAAAATCCATTAAAGCGCATAGAAGAATCACCAACGCGCTCCTATTTGTGGCCTATTTTTTCCCCAAATCCTCACAAGACCTGTCTTTTAAAAAAGTGTCTTTTAGCTTTGTGTTAAAGAATAAATGGTATTATGTTTGTTTTAGATGTGATCAAAATTACTCACATAAAAAGAAACATCCATTCTGAATGTAAACAAAAAGCTTTAACATGAACTCCCAGTGCGCATGTGAGAAACAACGGAATAGGCCTGCTAACTTTTACGCACCGTCTTTTCCTTTAGTTCTCCGTAGTGAAAATCCGCCAGGTGCCTATAATGTAATATCATAATTGGATTATGGTGCTAATACGGATCACATCATTGCAGCACATTTACAGTAACTTCAACTCATAAACCACTGCATCATTGTATAGGCTAAAAGATTCCATACTATAACTTTTGGCGTCTTTTAACAAAATCAGTGTATAATATTGGACTTCTCTGTAAAATCTGAATATTAAATGATAAAGTAATGTACGGGTTGCTAGGAAATTCATCTAAAAACTGTCCATACCAAACCCTGTCCGACTGTTTTCTCTTTTCTTCTGGATTTGAAGGACCTGCACCATAAAAAGGAGCTTTTTTTTCCTCCAAAGTAATTACACAGCACCCTTTGGTGAGTGCCACCCTCTCAGCTCAAGCACAATACTGAACCAGGCCGATTTATCTCAGAGTAGCAGGCAAGTTTATCGTCTTGTTCAAGGCCAGGCTAATTTGGATAGATGAGTTACTTTTACTCTAATTTGGAAAATGGTTTGTTCAGCGTTCTGATTTCAGAATCTCTCTCTTTTTTGGCAATAATGATAACCTTGCTGGTGTAAATATTCTTCTACCTTTATTAATTCTCTGTAGTTTCCTCCTTCTTGTTGTTGTTCTGTGTCATTGCTCCCCCTAACAGCCACACAGGTAACTGCATGTCACTCCAAAGTGTACTGCAGGCTGCAGGCCCTGAAGTGTGGATTATTCAGTAGCATGGTGATGATAATAACATAAACTAGTCGTAGACGTTTATCTAATAACAGTAACAGCAGTAAAATTTTACACTGCTGCTGGATATTAAAGTTTCCATTTGGCAAGGAGAAAACTGGAGACAGTAAAGTTCATAAAATAGCAAATATATATTTCAGAAGTCAAAAAATAGAAGCTTATTTCATGGAGGCACTTCATTTAAAAAAATAATATGGAAATTCGTTGGTGCGTAATGGTGCGCGCTTTTACGCATTTATGTTGTGTGTTGGGGGGATGGCGTTGAACGTTGTACAATGAACTTCAGACAAGAATCTTTATTTGTTGCAGATAAAAAGAAAAATATCAAGGAGGTTTTTGAAAAAAAATCATGTTAACCACAAACAAACAAACAAACAAACATAAAAGCTAATCAAACTAATTGAAAGGAGCTGGAATTTATTGGAACAGTTTCCATCGAGGTTGGAATATTTTCCTTGAGATACAAAAATACACAAAACACTGAATCACCTCACCTGTTAGTTTCTCTGTTGTAGAGATATGATTCAACAAGTCTTCCAATGTGTCAAATAATGATAAAAAACACAGCTGCACAATAACAACAGTTCAAATTCATACTTGAAAGTGAAGACAGTCGGTTGTTATTGATGCTAAATTGGAGCTTGAACAGATTTAATACGCATTCAAACATGAACACGAGGTTGAATTTGTTAATCCGGAAAGTTTTATTAAGGTTTTTAATGAGTTCTGTTTACAGCTGTAACCCCCCCTCCCACCTCCCCAGCAGTGCTTCCGGATAAGCCCCCCCAGGTGTTGTCCATGTTTTCCACTTCTCTGTTCACTTTCTTTGCACCTTGATCACAGCAAACATTCAAGTTTTCCCGCATTTCACTTTTAATAACATAAAGCCTTTGTCTGCGGTGGTACTTTGAGAAATCATATGTCTGGTGCGTGACAACTTAATAGAGGCGCATGGGGAACAGTTTGAACCAATAAAAACAGTCTCTGTATAATAAACCTGTGGGGTGATGTTTGTCTCAGCTGGCCATTTTTAAATAACTTTGCTCTTCATGGAGATTTTTCATGCTGAAGTCTCATAAAATCAGAAACTCCTGCAAATCAGGCAGTTTATACGCTTCCTCCTCAAATCATCATAAATATCAGAAAAGTGGAGGGCTTGGAAACTATGTTTTCTTGTTTGATTTCTTCTTCAAGGCACAAGACTGAAACTTAATCATTTACAACTCGTTTAGTTCACAGACAAACTAGATCCAAATTAATTAAAATACTTTTTTCTGGAATAAAACACGAGAATAAATTAGCCATATTTTTGTAAGACTGCGTGCGCACAAATGATGTTTTTCCCTCCATCTAGACGAGTGGCTCTCATATATAAATCTGACCCAACACCTTTCATATTCGAGTTTTTAGAAAAATGTTCGGCTGTGAAATGAGCGCAGGAACCAGGAAAAGCAGGAGGCGCCCGCAGCTTTTCAGGCAGTTAAACTAAACCACATTCCTCCCCAAGTGACGAGCGAAAATTCAGGGAAACCAAGAAGAAAACATTTTTTTTTGTTTGTTTTTGTTGTTGTTGTTTTTTTTTTTCTTGAGTTGTAATCCAAAAGCCATATTAGCTACAGAGAGTTGTAAGTATAGAGATATAACTTTAACTTTTGCAGGTTCTGCTACAATTAATAATTCTGTTCTTCAGAGATGTTGAGCTGCAGGCTTTCATTTTATTTCACCAATCAGCTTCGTTGCATCTGGCGACTCACAGCAGCTTTGACTTTCATGTGATTCATATAAAAACTAAAATAACACTATTTCTTCAACATTGTGTTCACAGTACTAACGCAATAATGAAATCCCTTCATTTACTTGGCTAAATTAAGAATTTTTCTCTAGTCATTAAAACGTCTCTATAAAAGGAGGGATTTTTAAAGTATATTTATTTATGTAAATGTATATTTTGTGCTTTTATTTTCCTTGTTATAATAAACGGGAATCGTTTTGTTTACATGCAGCCCAACGAAACCCATTTCACTATTATTAGTGTATCAATTAACATTTACAGGCTCGAAATGAGCAGTGGAACTTTGTAAAACTGTAAAAAACAAAAAAAAAGGGTTCGTAACTCCAACTTGGGCCTAAATCCTGATGCTGCTATGAAAACTGTAACTGGCTGAATAATTCACGATCATCATCAAAAGTATTTCTCAAGGCAATTTTAATAACCAAGTGAGCAACAGTTCAACAATATTAACACACACAAAGTCGAATAAAACTCAAAAGCACTTGGGTAGAATGAAATATTGCAGTCTCTTAATGTTTCCCTCCAGATGACAAATTTAGAGGCTTTGATGTCCAAAAAAAAGTGAATTTGGACCAAATTCTTAAAATTGGCTGCATAACAGGATTAGTGATATGTGACACATGTGCCCACTTACTCCACAGTGATGACAAATGAAAATGGATTGGAGTGTGGGAAATAGCCCGTGTCCAAAGGTTTATATTGGGCGTTGCAAAGAGAGAACAGGCAATGCAAAGACTGGAGCCCCTTTCGGCAAATACTTCTATTATTCATAGCTCATGAACAGCATATGCACGTCGACATTAACGTCAAATGCTCGCTTTGTTGTGACCCAACATATATATCAGCTGATTATACCAACGTGAACGTCATGCAAACCTCACCGGGCCTTCTTTTAATCCTATCCCAGCGTTTTCTTTTTTAACCTCAAGACGCAGAATGTTTTAGATAAAGAAGCAAACATGTGATAATTCAACACATGCGCTGTTTAAAATAGATATTCAGTCACTTTTACGCATAGAAAAAGACAACACCAGCATGCAGTTGTGCATAAGTTTTAGAATAATGTCTAATATTTGGTGCTATCCAGGTCCAAATCAACACATAAGGCAACCAAAGGGGAGATAAAGAAGCCAGCCTTCACAGTCCTTTGTCTTTTTGTTCCCGGGTGCGAAACTGGACTGATGCCTGACAATCGTGCTGCATGACTCACATTGCTCCAACACTTGTGGACTAGATTGGTCTATATATAGCCAGAGCAGCTATATTAAAAATCCACTCAGAGAGAGGTCAAAAAACATACCTGGCGGTGCCTCAGTGATCAAATAATCAGATGTAAGCGTTTAAAATAGCCTCCAAACGAATTTACGCACGTGTGGCGCAGCCTCTAAATTTGATCTGTCATCTGAAACTCAACAAGTCCTCAGTTGTGGTCCAAATGTTGTCATATGTGCCACAAAGACTAAGCCTTTACACGCACAACAAAGCCTGTATCTTGTTGCCTGCGCGGTAGAAAACGTCTTTAAAAGCGTTCAGACGTCTCCGCGGAGGTTAAGGTTAGGGTTAAGGTGAGGGTTAGGTTTAAAAAGGAATCTAAACCTTTAAAAATGTGGCACTTGAAGCAGCTTGGCGTGAATTTGGAGATAATTCTCAGTTTTTCACCTTGCAGTGTGATATTTTAAGGATAGAAGCCAGATAGAAGTAACCCAGCAGGAGCTTTACAGTGAAACCCGATGAATAAGATACTTTCAACCTTGTCAAAAAAATTAAAAAAAAAAAAAAAAAAGCTTTAAAATTCCCTTTCAGTATTTTTCCTTTTCCATACAGCCACAGGTCCACTTTCTACACTCTTTGACTCATATAGCCTACACGTTCAGACGTAGGCTATCTGTCATTTTGTGCCAGTGGTCACATGGCTTTGGCCCTCAGGAATGGATAGAGATGGATCCCCACGTCAGCTTGTACGTCTAAGGATTTCTGCTCCACCAGTCTGCCTCAAAGTGACTGGAGCGCAGCGACGCGGAGGAACTATGCGAGGATTATTATAGGACGTTTCCAACAGCAGAATATGGATTTTGATGAACGGATCTCTGGCTCCAATATGTATTTACCGAGCTGCACTTACTACGTCTCCGGAGCAGAGTTCTCGGGTCTCCCTCATTATTTAACCCAGAGCCAGTCCTCTTGCCCCATGACATACTCGTACCAGTCCTCAGCGCTGCCACAGGTCCCGTCCGTGAGAGATGTGGCTTTCAGAGACTATGGCATTGATACTTCAAGTAAATGGCACCACAGCAGGGGGAGCCTGTCACACTGCTACGCTGAGGACATCGTGCACAGGGACAGCTGGTCGAGCCCAGCCTCACGGGGGGGAGAGATCCTGGTGAAAGGCGGCTCCGGCGTCAGCCACTCCAGCTCCTCCAACCCGGCGCCGGGCTTCTACGGCAGCGTTGGCAGGAACGGGGTCCTGCCGCAGGCTTTCGACCAGTTCTTCGACACGGCCTACGGGAGCGCAGAGAACAGCACAACGCCGACAGCACAGGCGCCGGACACGGACAGACACGCCAAGGCGAGCCCCGCTCCTGCGCACTCGGGCTCGGACACGGCGGAGAGCTGCAGCCCCAAGTCGTCCTCCGGCCACAGCGAGGAGAAGCAGAGCAAAAGCAGCAGTGAGTGAACCTGCTTAATGCAAGGAACCAAATCTAACGCGTTGCTCTTAAAGCTTTTTATATGCAGTTTTATAAGCACGTAAGGTTTATGGAGGGCCTGCAGATTTACCCTATAACAAAACTATGTTATAAACGACAAGATCACGTGCTTGGGATTGAAATTGGCCGTGAAGACTTTGGCGTTAAGCTTGTCTTCAAGATTTCAAACAAGATCTCCGCTTTTTCCCCCCACATTTGTGCTTATATAGCCTTTATATAATTACCCTGTAAAAACATATATGGCAGATAGATTTAGTTAATAAAATACTATTGAAATAACAACTTAGATATTTCAAACACACCCATGATCTGCCTTATTTATATCCATGTGATTCTAGTTAATTTACTGCTTATATCTCTGCCTGCTTTTTGATTTAACTTTGGGTTTATTTTGTGCTGGCTGCACTGGGCTGCTGGGGCATTTCAGTTTGACTTTGGACAAGACTTTTTAGCTCTCACCCTGCTTCTCAGTATAAATATTTACAAATTCTCAGGATTTGTAAGGATTTAATCCAACAACTGCTTTCCATGACGGAATTTACTCCACTAAAGCTAAAAACAACAGCTCCTTTACGCACAGTGAAACCAAAAGCGGACAGTAAAAGCGTATCAAGATATATGATACTCTCCTGTTTGGTTTAGGCCCACGCCCCAACTCTTAAAAAGCAGCCAATATGGTTTTTACAGATTTCAATAAGTTTTCACTACTTCCGACATGCAAGCCTTCAAAGTGTTCCACTATCAAGCTGAAGGCTTTGTTTACAAATCTCGGTCCTGTAGGCCTGAGAGGAGGGAGACACTTGAACTCCAAAAGCTCACTCTGGACCACCACCACTGCTGCTGCTGCTGCTGCTTCAAAAGGCAGAAATAGACTTGTGATCTCATGTTATGGCTCTAATTTCTAATCAGGTGCCTTATTTTCTTGTGTTATGTTATTTTTCTTCTAGGTGGCCAAAGGACACGCAAGAAGAGGTGTCCATACTCCAAGTATCAGATCAGGGAACTCGAGAGGGAATTCTTTTTCAGCGTTTACATCAACAAGGAGAAGCGTCTGCAGCTCTCACGGATGCTCAACCTGACAGATCGCCAGGTCAAAATTTGGTTTCAAAACAGGAGGATGAAGGAGAAGAAACTGAACAGAGACCGTTTACAGTACTACACCACAAACCCCCTGCTATAAAAAAAGAAAAAAAAAAAGAAAAAAAAAACTGAACAAAGACTGCGGCCACTCACCCCCTCACATCTATATCATTACCTGAGCAGGAGGACGGGTTTTTCTAATGTACCAGACTCCATAAAGAATTCTACTATTCATATATTATTTTGTCATTAAACACAATTGGCTCTGTTATTATTATTATTATTATTATTATTATTATTATTATTATTATTATTATTATTATTATTATTGCTTGACAACAATTTTCCAAATTTGAAAGCACAGTGATTGCGTATTTGGGGTGTTTACGCACCAAACCACATGTGTCTGAATTCCCTTTATATTATTTAACAATACACACCGAGATTACGATACTGCATTTTCAACAAAAAATAATATGATTTTTCTTCCTTAAAATTAAACTTTATTTCCCAAATTCACGCACGTACACGTCTTGTCTTGAATTACCAACAATATATATACATATATATTTATATTTTCTACTTTTTTTTCCCCAAATGAAATTTCATTTCTCCAATTTACGCACGCAACATTTGTGGCGTCAATTCTGTGACATGAAACTGCTGTCCGCTTCTTTCTCTTAATCTTTTAACACCATTGTGCAAATACAAATCCAACGTTTAGGAAATCCGTTTGGTGCATTTTGGAGCAGAACTCATCTAAAACTAAAAAAATAATAGAAAAAAAAAGACGGCATAGTCATACAATTAGTTAAATTATAATCTGATACAAATCCGCTCTTCTCTCACATTTTGAGACTCAGTGATATTTAACATCTGCGCTTGACCCTCAATGCAAAGCGCTTTGTTGAGCTCTTGGCCGTAAAGTTGGATTATTCTCCAACTTCATCTAAAGGGCACACCGCTGATAAAAGCGCAAAACCCCCAAATGAAACATAACCCCATATTTTGTTTTATATGCCAGCACGTGGATGGTATCAGATGCATGATATGTCGTTGTGGATGCTCTTTTATTTTATCCCCCCATGGCTGGAAATAAGATCCTCTGCAGTTATTATTTGATATCCATTACAAAGGCTTCATTTGTCTCTGGGAGGAGGAAGGGAGGAGGGTTAGAAAGGCTGATGTTAGCCTGAACATGCCTATTAGGGGTTAACTGAAACAATCTTGACACTTGTTTTAATGCATATACATGCAATAGATGCCTCTTTCTCTCTCTCTCTCTCCAAACAATATTAATCTATTTGTGTTATTACACTCCCATGAGATTATTTGAAAAAAATCCGCCTCTCTTGACGCATCCAGGGATAAATAAAGAAACCCCAAATCGCTGTTACAGTCACAAAGAGCTGTATGATTATTTTATGTATTATCTGGAGTGTGGCTTAATCCATCAGTTTATACACACGAAGCACGAAGATTTATGTTAACCTGCAAATGAAGGTAAAGATGGGTAAAAAAAAAAAAAAAAAAAAAGAAAAAAAAAACTGAACAAAGACTGCGGCCACTCACCCCCTCACATCTATATCATTACCTGAGCAGGAGGAC